TAACACCGCAGAGTTCCTCCATCAAATCATAGTATCCGATGGGGTCACTTTTCATTTAGCAAACAAAGGGTTTAGTCTAAAAATAAATAACCTACATAACAAGATAAAACATTATGTAATGGATAAGATTGTTAATGATAAATAAAGTTTTATAAAACACTTTTATTAAGTCATCCCATAGTATCAACCTCAAACATTAATGTGGATTCACTCTAAACAAACCCTCCTAAATCGAACAAATAGGTCATGAACCTCGTGTCATCTGTCCTTAAGGTTCTTTTGTTTATTTTTAAGATTGTTCTTTGTTATATTGACCAATTCACACTCGGAGAAACTCAACAATGTTATTATAACCTTGCATGGTCCAACTCCCATCAACTTGGTTCCCCAAACAGTCCTCATCAACCATGGCGATCAGTAGTTGTAAGTCCATATCTGATGTCCATTTCGTAACCTTTTCGGATTCTTGTAAATGACCCAGGGAAAACACTCTTGCCTATATTCATGTTGTACCTATTGCAGTGACAAGTAATCTAAAAATTGTAACACAATTATATTTAAATATGGTTTAGCAACCAATGACTTAATTAGTCAATAAAAACCATAACAACATTCACATATCTAAATGAATTAATATAGTTGTTTAATTATTTTCATAGTCTCTATACATATTGTTTTCTATAACATCTTTAAGATTTGACCCAAGCCTATAATCATGCTCACGATCTTAAGAGACATATGATTGAACATCTTGTTCCATTAATTCTTGATTTACTTCATCTACCAATGCCTTATCACTGTCCACCCCCACGAGAGATAGTTGTGAGGAATACAACATGTTAAAACAATCTTTGTCATTGTCTCCAATGAGTACTATGGTTCAGTTTCACTAGCTATTATTGAAAACCGTTTTTTAAAACACCAAAAGTATTTTCAATTACATTTCTAAGTAATGAATGACAAAGATTAAACAACTCTCATGGATTTTGTGGACCTCTTTGGGAGTACTTTTTAAGGTGATATCTAATGCCATAATAAGGTGTTATTGTTTATGAATTTTAACATAAAGTTGACATCCTTAAGGTAGTATTTTTCTACAAGTGCATTGAACATGATTAACAATAATTACTAATATTTAAGTATAATTAGTGGATGCTCTCGACTAAGAGCATCCTTCAATATTCGCAATTAGGATGCCATTTCTTTCCACCCGACTAAAGCATATGTGAATTTCATGTCAAAATCACAAGTTGTAAAAGCATTTTGTGTTGACCAATATTTTCTGTTGTGAAAACGAGTGACATCTGATCGTGGGACCTTGACACATACACAAGTGTCATCTATGAACCCTAAACAATCCAAAAAGGTAACAAAATGGTCTTCTAATTAAGAAGTAATACATTATGTATATGAAATGACACTATACTTTTCAAAATATTACCTTAAAGAATGGGTAAATCAGTTGTTGTTTAGAACAAAAGGATAGACCTCAGTCCTAGATGGTTGAATTAAGAATTCAGCCTCTAACATCGAATTTGCATTTAAGACATTATGAAAGTGTTGAGAATTAGTTACCCTAGACCGATGAAAAAATTTAGTAACTTGTTCCTTGATGGTTGATGAATATGCATCTTTTACTAACATAATTGCATTTAATCATTGGCATAATATATGAATGCTTGTGGTCTCATGGAAATAATGTCACAATATTGTTTCGTATGCATTAAGTATGACATCAATTCCTACTGACGACACTTTTTATGGTAGAAACTTTGGAATATTTAGATGCGACACGTGCAACATATTCAATAATAAACAATGATGTAAAAGATAATTTTGTATGCAATTTTATTTATTAATGTAAATATTCAATTAAATTAAAGTTGCCACACAAAATATGATTATCAAAATATTCGTTATTACAATACATTGACCCTCACCCTTGTGTGTCATGTCACAAATCATTTCAAAAATACACCCCTACTATATAAAATTTTAGAATATAACTAACGAGTCACTTTTCATTTTTATATATATAACACAATCATATTATATTATAATTTTATTTCATTTTTATTTATAATGTATTTATATTACTAATTTTTTATTACATGCTTATATTCCACTACACAAAACTTTTTTTTTGTATTTATTCGTACATACTTAATCCTAATTACATAAAATATTAGTATATATTATATTTATACTAAATTATTTTACTATATTTTTAAAATAAATGATACATTCATAAAAAAAATTAATATATTATAATTACACTTAAATTTATTTTCATTATAATATATTTATATTAAATTAATACAAATATTATAAAATAATATTATACTAAAATTTATATTAAATTTTTTAATATACATTTATGATAAATGATATACTTTCATCATATGACAATACATACAAAATTTTGGTATATGTTATCAATTAACTTAAATTTAATTTTATTATACAATTTAATATGCTATTAATAAATTTAAATTTAAATTTATTATACTATTTTAATATTTAATTACTGATAAACGAATAATTCATAAAATATTTAATATTATAATTATACCAAACTTTAACTTACATACAATATTTTAATATTAAATGATCATTTTACATTATAAAATTAGATTAACTTGTTAACTATAAATTATCGTTTATATTAATATTTTAAGTGAGATTAAAGTAGGTTTTTAAGTTAGATTAGATTAAGTTTATATATATATATATATAGATTAAATTAATCAATCAAGCATTCACCATACAATTCAACAAAGTGATTGTAAGCTTCAATCCTCAACCGAGATACATCCACAAGCTAAAGCAAGTCAAGAACATAAGTCTTAAACAAGTTGTTACATGCGATTCAGTTCCAGCAGATTTTGTTCGGTAAAAACCTAATCTAATTCATGAATTCAGTAAAGAAAAACAATTAAAGATGATAGTCGAAGTTTTCAAGTTCAGATTCAATCAGATCGATCAGAATTCTCTCAGTTGTTCTCTCCACTCGCACCATGGCTCTCTCTCCTTGCTTGCATCTCAATCTTCCATGTATGTGTTCATTCTTCTTCATTGTTTTTCACGAATTGGATCTGAACTTCCTTCTTCTATCATATATATATATATATATATATATAAACTTAATCTAATCTAACTTAAAAACCTACTTTAATCTCACTTAAAATATTAATATAAACGATAATTTATAGTTAAAAAGTTAATCTAATCTCACTAAAAAACCAATTCTATTACAATGTATTACATAGACTTAAATTAAATCATTTATCATACAAACTTAAATTAAATAATTAAAAATTAATTCATGTGTATGGAATCAAAATAATTATATTATGTTTATTTACCTCTTGAAATATCTCGAGGAAACATCATGAACAATACTACCACCAAGTACTAGCAGCAACACCACACCACACCAACATGATCAACAACGATCATGAATAACGATCACACCACTGCACCAATGCCACACATATGACTAACCAGATACTAGCACCAGCAGCCCCACACAAAGAATCACAACACCAACACCGTCACGACCCAATTCCCACACACATGCACAACCTACAAGACAACATAACACACCTCACATTCATAACACAAATCACACATAAGAATTGATTCTCCTTTAAATAAATGTGTCGATAATCGATTATGGTAATGTGAGAATCAATTCTGGCCACAAGAATCAATTCTTAACATGATTGAGAATCGATTCTATATACATTATAGGCGAGGTAGAAGCAATTTCCGTTGAATTATCTTTACCGAGAATAAATTATATGGACACCACTAATATGTTATCTACAACCATTCTCACTTAGAATTGATTTTTTCAACTCGAAGACTCAAATTTTTAGTATCAAGTTACACGCGATTGTCATCCAACACAAAGCTACACATAAACCAACCACCCTAACACCTAACTTCATAAACAAAGCATCACTTTCCTTCAAATGACTTTAGGAATCATAACTCTCACAACTTAAACACATAGCAGCGAACCACTCCATTCACAATTTTTTTATTGGAGCATTCAAAACTTCAGTTACCATGGTCAATAATGCTCTTAACAATTTTTATTGTGTGTCGTCTGTGTATGCAGGTGGACAAGAATCTATGGGACAAATCTATGCATGCATGTTATATCTCTACGATGCACACTGTTACGATATCATGCACAATTGAGACACGTGAAAATTAATTAGAAGAAACGAAATATAACACGATATATGGACACGAATTAAAGTATCTTTCTTGTTTTATTTCCTCATTTCCATTAAGGATCCATTTTCTCCTTCAAATACGTTTTCAAATCTACTCGTTTCGTTTGAAATAAATGGAAAACCTCTATGTAAATAACAAATAAATGGATAGAAATATGAGGTATGAGAGAATGAGCAAATTAAAAAAAAAAGAATAAATAATGATTGAGGAAAATAAAATAAAAATTGTACCAGCAAATTAAAAATAAATAAATGATGAGAGAAGAAAATAAAAAAATTATAAGAGATAAAAAATAACTATATTATGTTATAAATCTTATTTTATAAAATTAAATTTTATATATAAATAAGTTTAATTAGATAAATAAATTTATCATAATTTTATTTAATAAATATTTTTTTAAATATATTATTTACGCGTGATGGATTGATATATGTCTTCTATTATTATTTTAAAAAAAATATACTCATGTTAACTCACATATTCATTGTCAGATTAAATTATTCTTTCACCCGCATAAAATCTATGCTGAATCACGCATAAGCTAATCCAGATTATGTAAAATTGCCGAATTTATTTTTTTCTTTGGTAAATCAGTACATACATAATGATAATAATTTAAAAACATTCAGAGTGTGCGAATGAATCTCCGTGGTGTATAAAAACAAAACCAAAAACTTATCTCCGTCCACTCGCTACTCGCCGCAGCAACTCGTACCTCGTCAGAAACCAAACACCAACCCAAACTAAACATGGTGGTGGCGGGTGTGTCCCACGCCATCTCCATCTCAATCTCCACCCCCACCAGAGCCCCCTCTTGCAACGATTTCCGCGCCCAAAAAGCACCCTCTTCCTTTTTCGGCCTGGCCCACTCTCCCCAGCCCAATCTCTCCATCTCCGCCAGAAGGAACCGCCACAACACCACCCACTCTTGCCGCTGCACCCTCAATTTCGACGACACCTGCCTCAATTGGGATTGGAACCGATGGTGCCGCTATTTCTCCGAAATCGAACAGGCCGAGAACTTTGCCTCTGTCCTCAAGGTACATCAAAGTATAGTATATTTGTTCTTTCAGCGGATTTTCGTGTTCAGTCTCAACAACCTCTCATATATAAAAATAATTAAATTTAACTTCTTGCTTAAGTTATTTTCCGTTAGCATAATTGAGGTTTAATTAATCGTTTGGATTCTATACCTGTAGAATTTATAAGTAGCTAGAAAGTACTCGTTTTAATCTCTAAATAGAAACAGTTAAAATTTGTGTGTACGAGGAATAAAACAGAGTTAAAAAGTGTATAAGTAGGTGCCAAAGCCAGTCGTCCTAGATTAGAGACTAAAACATAAAGGTTATGTTGGTATTAAGTTAATTTATAAGCTTCGCATTTAACCTAAGGAGTCTGTTTGGATGAAATTTTTACACAAGCACTTCTAGAAAGGAAAAGAAAAAAGCTTTACTATCAACTAAAACTAGCGTATGCTAAGAGTTCTCTGATAGTAACTTCTCCAAAATTAGATTTTTACCATATACATATGCTAGCTTTAATTTAGGAAGAAACTCATTTCACTTTTTTCTTCTCTTAAAAGTGTTCATGGAGAAACTTACCCAAACAAACCCTTAGTCTAAAGCTGATCTTAATTTATACTGATGCGGAAATAGGTTATGTTTATGGTACTTGTGTTTTTGTGTTTGTGTAGTTTCAACTTGATGATGCTATTGAGAAGGAGGACTTTGAAGAGGCCATTAAGTTGAAGAGGGCTCTATCGGAGGCAACGTCGAAGGACACTGTTGCTGAAATTATGGACCAGTTGAAGGCGAGAGCAGCATAATTTGTCTGAATTAGTTTTTTTTTTTTCCTACATGTGGTTGGTTGGTACTCGAAGTTAATCTGGTGGTTCTGTTACGTTGCAGAGTGCTATAGATGATGAACGATATCATGATGCTTCAAGGTTGTGTAAATGCACTGGAAGTGGACTGGTATCTTTCTTAATTGCTCTACTTTGTGCTAGCCATTGTTTGAAAGTGTTACCTTTTACAATTTTTTATTGTTGTATTTGGAGCTTGATAGTATTTGACTCGGCTTTTTCCTATTTAAAAAGGAGAAGTTGAGCCAAGCATGATTTTAGAAAAACTCTTGGAAAAGAAAAGTAGTTTTTTAATAACAAAAACCTGGAAAATAGAGCTAGTGGATGAGGAACTTCCTTTTGTGTAGATGATAAGTGAAAATTAGTTGGGGTCAAATATCTTAGTATTTCCTAGAAGACGTAGCTTCTTTCTTCTATGTTCTCTTAACAAAGTTTCAACATTGTGGATCAGTTCATCATGGTTCCCCAAACTAGCCTTCTTCTATTGTAGAAGACACGTAAAATTTCCACTGCTCAGATCAACAATTTACAATATGTACTTCTCGTATTCAGTTTATTGGATACACATATGTGACACTAAGTTACTACCACCAATAATTCATGGTCTAGAATGGGAGAGGATAAGAATGTAGAAGTGTAATTTGGAAAATAGTTGGGAGTTATGAGGATTTAAAGTTGTGTCTTCTTGAAGGGATAAATAAATTAGTGGTATGTTTGGGAGATATTTGGTAAGTATTATCATTCCATACACCTTTTTAACTACGAAAGGTTTTATAAAGGTTAAATATCAACGTTATGAAAATTTAAAACAGATGGTGTCCTGATTAGAAACTAGCTAGTGTTAATAAACTTATGCAGTTATGTGGGAAGATGCAAAACCCATCTAGAAAAAAAAAAAATAATTGTTGTGATTTGGATGTATTGTTACTGGTTGATGGTCTGAGCATGCTTTCGTGAATCATACTCCCTTGACCTCCATCTTTACCTTTATGTGCAGGTAGGCTGGTGGGTGGGGTACTCAAAAACCTCAGATGACCCCTTTGGTAGAATTATACATATAAGTCCTGGTATGGGTAGATTCATTGGCAAGAGTTACAGTCCAAGGTATGAATGTTCTATATTATATTTTACCCTGTAGTTTTTTTATTGGGGATTACTGCTTATTGCTGTTTTATACAGACAGTTGATGACAGCATCTACTGGAACTCCAATTTTTGAAATTTATGTGGTAAAAAATGTCGATGACACATATCATATGCAGGTAATATTCAAATTTTCCAACTAAATGATCTTTGTTCATTTGTGACTTACCACTGTGCTAGAGGGAAACAGTCTTAGTTTTAATGTTGATTAATGGATATCTTTTATTTTTTCATTTTTCATGACCCACATATTTATCAGTAAAAAGGCTTAATTTTGGGGGAGCTTATGCAAATATTAAGTTAGCTAACTGAATATAAAATGCATTATAGAATGGGAACATCATTTTTGTGGTTTTGCTTAAGTGTATGATTTTTTAGTTGGTTTGTCTTTACCGAGTCTTTGTCCCTATTATCTACCTGATTCTGAGTAGTTTGCTTACGTGGTATGTTGGCATTGCTTATGATGTCATATTGGCAAAACTTAACAGGTAGTGTATTTGCGACAAGCGAAAGGAAAGTCAAGGAGAAACTCTCAATCTATATCTACTAAAGGCCCATCCAAACCTGAGGTGGATAATGTATCTTCAGTTCAGGTGCAGGAAGATGAAGAGAAGGTTGAGAGAAATGATGAGAAAAACAGTAATATTGAGGCAGTAACTGAAGAGGGCATTAAAAGTGTTATAAATTTTCTTAAAGAAAAAATTCCAGGATTAAAAGTCAAAGTTATGAATGTTAATGTTGAAGACGAAGCAGCAGGGAACAATGATTCTATTCAACAATTGATGGAAGAAGATAGTAATAAAACTGGCTCCAGTGAGAATCATGAAGAGGAAGTTGATAATCTCGATGAACCTGATGGGGTAACTCTGGACAGAGATGGAGATGCCACGGATGAAGAAAAGGATTTGGAAATGAAGCTTTTTATTGGTGGGGTTGTGCATAACAATGAGGATACTCCAGTGAAGGATGAATTTATACGTCTTCCTGCTGTAATAAAAAATATGGAAAAGGATTCTTTTGTCTTTCATTTTGCTAGCAAAAATCTAGACTATGGTATCAGAGAAGATAAAGTTCCCAATATCAAAGTAGCTGCTTTAGCAGCGCAAGGAGTTTCTGAGCTTATGCCTCCTGATGTTGCTAATGCATTTTGGAGTTCTGACAAAGTCTCTTCCAAGGTATGACTGGGATATTTAAGCATTTTTTAAAAAAGAAATCATGCATTTGTTTGTAGTTCTGTTAAATCCTTCAGTAGGAATTAAGGAGCACCTGTCATTATTATTATTATTTTAATGCTAAGGTTTTCATTGGTGATAAAATCAATAGGACAATTCCTGGATAAAAATGGGAGACTATATTATTGATGAAAAATGACAGAAGTACAAAATTATAAAGAGCTAATGCTCCCAGCAATGGAGGAAACTTTAATCCCCAAGCCTAAGCTTGAAGATGGAAAACTTATACATAATTTCCCCTGATATACCCCCCGGACCCATTATCCTTGTTCTCCTGTTTTTTACTTGCACCACTTCTCACCGAACTACCATTCCAGTCTTTTTGTATGATAATAGTGTTAGATATAAGAAATATGTAATTATTATCTTGGAATATTTTAGAGTATCTATCATAATATATTAGGAATTTTATTTTATTTTATATTTTTATGTGTTTCCTTATTTAATTAGGATATTATAACTATAGGATTATCTGATTAGAATCAGATATATTAGAATATGATTTATATGCATATCATATAATGTATATAAGAATAAAGTCTTCTATAATTATTTGTGTTTATTATCATCAGCTTCTATAAATAGACTCTGTTGTGTAAATATAGTTTCAGCATCTTTTTCATCTATTTTTCTTTTATTCAACATGGTATCAAAGCTGTACCATCCTCCATGAAGTGTTTTGTCACTATTTCACTGCTGAGTTCCTTTAAACAAAATAGTGGAACTCCAATATGTCACTTCTTCCACTTTGTCTTTTATTTCCAGCATGACTGTCAATTTTCCATTGTGTCCAAATTTGGCTTGCAACTAAAATTTGTGGGTGTTGTTCACTGTGATCGATTTTTCTGTTATGTAGTCCATTCACAGTTTTCAGTTACTCTTTCATCTATCTTCCTCTCTTTTAGCATGCTATCAAAGTTGTACCATCCTCCATGACCTGTTTTGTCACTATTCCGCTATTGAGTTTCTTTGAACTAAAAAGGTGAAACTTCAATTAGTCACCTCTTGTGCTTTGTCTTTTATTTTCAGCATGACTGTCAAACTTCCATTGTGCCCTACTTTGGTAAGCTACTTCGTGGTTATTGTTCACCATCACCACTTTTTTTGTTGCATATTCCATGCACAACTTTCAACATCTCTTCCATCTTTTTTTCTTTCAACATGGTATTAGAGCAGTACCATTTTCCATGACTTATTTAGTTACTATGCCGATGCTAAGTTCCTTTTAGAAAGAAGTAGAACTCCAATTAGTCACCTCTTCCGCTTTGTCTATTATTTCCAGCATGACTGTCAATATTCCATTTTGTCCTAATTTGCTTAGCTACTCTAAATTGCAGTTGTTGTTCAACATCACCTACTTTTCTGCTGTGTTACAACTTTCAACATCTTCCATCTATTTTTCATTGTTTCAACATAGTATTGGAGCGGTACAATGCAATAAAAGTGGAACTCCAATTAGTCACCTCTTCTGCCTTGTCTCTTGTTTCCAGCATGATTATCCATCTTCCATTGGGTCCTAATTTGATTCACTACTCTGATTCGTAGTTATTGTTGGTTTTCACCGGCTTCTTATTTTTTAATTTTTTTTGTAGTCCAATACACAAATTTCAGCATCTCTTCCATCTATTTTTCTGGTATTAGAGTGGTACCATCTTCCATGACTTGTTTTCTCACTATTCCACTGCTGAGTTCCTTTAAACAATAAGTGGAACTCTAATCAGTCACCTCTACCGTTTTGTATCATATTTCCAGCATAACAGACAATCTTCTGTTCAGTCCTAGTTTGGTTTGCTACTCTGATTTGTGGTGGTCGCTCACCGTCACTGACTTTTCTGTTGACACATCCCAAATTTGTTCCAGATGCACTTTTTCTGGCTTTGTCCCAGTCCCAAATGCGCTGCCTATGACTTTGCCCCTGATACATTGGCCCTGGCTGTTCTCCCAAGTGCATTTGCTCTAACTTTTTCTCAAATGCATTGGCCCTACATTGTCCGAGATGCACGGACATGTCTCGCGTACCTCAAATTTTTTTATCAAGCTAATGATCATTCAATCTATCTGGCTAAGCTAGTTTTCTCTCCAGCATGCCTGACTCTGAGTTGCTTTTCCAACTATTGTATTTGGTGGAACTCATTTGTTTGTAACAAGCTAAAACTTAGTAAGCTTCAGATTGTGGATTTATTCATTGCTTTTATTTTGATTCGTTTTCTTATTTAAGAAGAATGTTTATAGTTATAAGAATATCTTGTTAGAATCAGATTTATTAGAAACTGTGGATTCAGACTATGATTTTCCTTTCCCAAAGGGATAGAGAAACTGTGTTATGCTGCACACCTCTTCCTTTATTTATTGATTGATTTACAATATAATAGTGTAAATTCATCTGACAAAATTATCACTCATCTAATCACAGTAATTACTCTCTGTTATCTACAACTGCTACATATTAATTGGCTAGGCATAGTCACAATCTACATCAATATCAATGTTGGTTAGTGTAATCTAGCCAACGTTAGTATAGGTGTGAGTTGACTGAATATTCTAACTTACATGATAATAGTATAACAGTGACATAATCGTGATGTCCGTTCCCATGAAAATTGATCTTAAATTACTCAAAAGATGAGATTGTAGTGTCTGTGACCATTCAAAAGTTTTTGTCTATTACCTAATATACTGTGCTTTACTTGTCAAAGAACTGACTGATGCTTCATCTAGATCTCCAAAAGCATGCGTGATATTGTCAGAGTTGCTATGAGTCAAGCACAGAAAAGAACTAGATTATCTGGGGATACATATTTTAACCGGATAACTTGTTCAAGAGGGAATTCTGATCCTTTTGATGGTGAGGTTGCTTATCCTGTTTTTTATGGAATTCTAGGTAAAGAACAAAGAATTGATTGTGCCGGTTAAAATGTAGGACTCTATGTTGGCGCGTTTGGCCCTTATGGCATGGAAATAGTTCACTTGAGGAGAAAATTTGGACATTGGAATGAAGTAGACAGGGAACATAACACTTCAGACCTGGGATTCTTCGAATATTTAGAGGCTGTGAAGTTAACTGGGGATCTTAATGTTCCTGCTGGCCAGGTTTATTCATTTTTAATTTCTTGATGCTGTTATCATATTGTGAACTTCTGCAAAGTTTATAACATGACAAGAAAGGATTATTTTTTGGTCTGTAGGTGACATTCCGTGCAAAAATTGGCAGAGGCAACCGCAACCCCAATCGTGGGATGTATCCTGATGATTTAGGAGTGGTAATGCACTATTTTAGTGGATATCTTTTGTGTTCTGCGCTCATTCATGTTGAAGAATACTGAAATTCAAAATTAACTATAGGCTATAGCCCATCATGATAGAAACCTTTTCCCTAACAATCTTTTATATAATTACCTCACACCTGCTGTGATAGAAACCTGGTATCTTATTAGAAAGAATAATTTCTCCCCTCAATGGAGTGTTAAAAATTGACAAGATGTCATCCCTCTCAATCCCTCTCCCTATTTAATACCGGTACTCGTCTACTAGCATAAACCTGCCTTCAATGGACCTAATCAGTTGCATATTGCATTTCTTAGACTAACAACTAATTACTAATGGGGGTTATCTAACAATACCCCCCCCCTCCCCCTTTCACCTTGTCCTCAATAGCAATTGGTCGCTGCAAACAAGGTTCCATCTTGTTCTAACTAGTCGAAGCATGATTATCAAGCCAACCCCATCGTGCTGCTGAAAATAACCTTCACTCCACCAAGGTCAAACAAACATATTCAATGCCCACATGCTCTTCTAATACTCTGATTTCTGCAGTACCTTTGTTTTATTGAATAGAAATGAATAGAGTACTCAAACAAATGCGACACTAACCCTCACTTTTTATTGAATGTCATTTGAATTTTGTTAGTTTCCTTGACTTGCATTGTTATTTAGTAATACAATTTGCTCGGCCTAATTTTTTCATTGTTAATTATGAATATGTCATGAATTTTACTAATTTTTAAAAAAATTGAGCTTTTATATGTATATAGTATAAATTAGTTATTCTGTATATAAAATTTCTGAATAGTGACCTTTGCTGGGAGAGGCAAAGGCTACTCATAGCTCTCTTCTATAAACCAAGAAAAGGACACATCCAGTGCAATCCCGGAAGAAGTAAAATTTTTTCTACAATTTCCTTGAGGTTGCTTGCTAATGTTTTTTTTATGTTTTTGAGGCCCATATGATTTTTATTGGTTTGCATCCTTCTTTGCTCGGGTTTCTTTCTTTTTGGTTTGTTATATTAATCATTTTGGATTGTTATTGAAACATGTAACTAATCTTAAATACTGCACTTATTCACAAACAGGTTGCTAGTTATAAAGGCCAGGGGAGAATAGCTGATTATGGTTTTCGAAATCCAAAATGGGTCGATGGAGAACTGCTCCAACTTAATGGCAAGGTAAATTAGTCAGAGGCGTTGCATTTTTCTCACGATCAATATTCTCAGTTAATAGAAAATTTTGGTAGAATTTCAGTTGGCACTTTTTTTTTTGTTCTGCTGTTTTCAAATTTAGGGCATGGGGCCATACATGAAAGGTGCAGATCTTGGTTTCCTTTATGTCGTGCCTGAGCAAAGTTTTCTTGTGTTGTTCCACCGGTTGAAACTACCCGAGTGAGCTATGGTTAATGGTACCCTATTCCTGTATAATTTACTATCTGATGCGGGTTGCAACATGAAGGATCCTGACACTAGCACGAGATTATATGTTACACTCTTTTGAGTGGGAGTTTTATCGGACAGGCAGGCACTTTTTTATTTCTTTTTTTCCCTAGCCCTTCTGAGTTAATTTTTTGTTGTTCCTTTTACCAATCTCTTTTCTATTATCTAGTGTATATAAATTTTGCAGACTAAGATAATAGCATGCTAGAACCCTGGAAGTACTGTAAGGGATATTTTATGTGCATAATATGGTTTATGTCTGTGTGCCTTCTTTCTGGTTTGGACTTCTCGTTTGTGGAAGTCCAACATAGTCTGCATGTATGAAAGGGGAGCAAATAATAATTAAATTTGATAATAAAGAACTTATTCCCTGTGGTAATTTATCCACAGATTTTGTTACACCATTTCCTATTGAAAGAAAGGAAATAATAATTATAAACTTTGTGCTACCCTTATCAAGAAGAATTATGATGAAGGTATTGGCAGCACAAAAGACGTCTCAAGCTAGATTCCTGGATAAACCTATAGTGCTTTTGGAGACGTGTGAAGAGATAAAAAGGTGTCATGTGAAAAAGCAAGTGCTCATGTAGCAGGTTGCTCTCAGTGGGATGTATTTTATTTATTTTTTGGACCTTAGATGTTTGTGTAAGAATAAATTGCATTGAAATGCGCAGTGGGAACCTTTCCAGTGGAAGCTGGGTTAAAGAATGACTATACTGTCTTTATTTTTATTATTACACTAAAGTAAGTCCACTGGAGCGAAGTCAGATTACTTTTTTCCACTAGAAAAGGATTGTTTAGATTTTTAATTGGGCCCACTAAGAAAATAACATTTTTTCTTAAAAACAATATTGTTTTTAAAATTTAAAATCTAAAAAGTTTGGTAAAGTAGTTTGTTAAAAGTTGTTTTTGTTTTTAGAATTATAAATTAAAAAAGAAAATTAACAAAATTTGTTTTAATTTTTAGGATTATTTGTGTCTTTAAAGTGATTGCACTGTTCATTTTCGCTTTTAATAGTCATTTTTAGATATTATTTATATTTATTCACATCATTTTTTTTATTAAAAATAGTTTTAAAATAAATTATTAAATAATTTTTTAACTTAAAATAATTTATTGAAATTTATTACTAAAATTATTTTTTAAAACGGAAATACAAAACTAAATTAAATACATTCGAAGCTATATTTGTTAAGTAGGGGTGTCAATATGGGTTCTAACTCGGTGAGTCAACTCGCCTCACCATAGGTTCGAGTCGGGTTGGGTTGGATTTTTTTATTTCTACCGATTATGAGCTAAAAATGAACCCGGCTCACTTAACCCACGGGTTAAACGGGTTCGAGCGGGGTTATGGTGGGTTGGCCGCAACCCACCATTAATTTTAAATTTTAAAAATAATTATAATATATATTAACCTTAATTAATAATTATATTTTAAATTTTAAAAACAATTATAATACTTCAAGTAACCCTAAATTTTATCCTCGCCTCATCTCTATCCTATATTGTCATTGTCGCCACAACAAGTCAAACCCTATCAGCAACACTACGTTTGTCAGCTGCATCTATCTTATCATATGTTCATCTTCATCGTATCACTACATCACCGCATCTACATCTGTAGCATCTATACATTATTTGTTGTTTATTATTGATTTATACGTATATCTCTTTAATATATGAATTTTTGACTTCTTTCTTTCAAATTAATTTACATTATGGAATGCGAAACAATGCATCAAAGTGTCAATGTGAATTGTGTTGGTGATGATTTTATTGTTAATGAAAAACCCAATGAGCCAATTTCAGTTAATAATGAAGATATCGATGTTGAGAAAAAAGGAAAAAACAAAAGTTTCTACATCCGAAGTTTGGAAATATATATATATATATATATATATATATATATATATATATATATTTATATTATTTAAAAAAAATATGGGTTAATGAGCCAACCCACCTAATCCACCAACCCGTGGTGGTTTCAACCGGGTTATAAAATTTCTGGCTAAAAAAATGAGTGTGGTTGAGCTCATTTCAGCTCAACCCGTGGTGAGCGTGTAAGTTAGCATCATTGCTTTAATCTAATCATAAGTGCAATGTCTGAGTCCTTGAGAATTCAACTAAAATTAAACTAAATAGCATTAATTAAAAATAAAAATCAAGCTGAAATTGGTTGATGACAACCATCAATTATTGCTTTTCCTTTTAGACTAACACAGTCACTGGAGCACTATAGAGGGTGAACTATGTGAAGCAATCAACGTGGCTCGGTAACGTGGCTCGGTCTTGCACTAAGAAACAACGACGAAATACTAAACACATCCTTCTTCTTTTTCTTTTCCGCTTTCTTTCATTTTCCCACCACCCAAACGAACTTTTTCCTTTTTCTTTGCTTTGCTCCTCACTTTATTTGCTACTCGTCTTTCTTTTATAATCCTTGCGTCACGAAACCAATGCAAACGGAAAACGCAGAATCACAACTCACGAGGATCGCGCCACCGCCATGAACAAATCGCTCTCCAAGGGCTCCGAGTCGTCCACTCAGTTCGACTCGCCGCTACGTTTCCACTCTCCGATGCGGTGGGACGGGACCGATCCGCCGGAGTCTCCGGAATACCGCTCGCCGGAAAACTCGCCAGAAAAGCACCCGGACCACTCCATGGCCATCGTCACCGTCGGCAAGCTCAAGCAGCTCGCTCCTGACAAGCGCGCAGAGCACCGGAAGCCGCCGGAAAACCCGCCGTCGGTGTTGGTGTTCAATGGTACGGTGACGGAGGAGACGCAGCGTCCGGCGGTGAATGCGGTTCCAGCGGTGGGCGGAGGCGAGCGGAGATCGAGGTCGTCAGGGTGGACGACGGAGGAAACGGTATGCAAGGCGGCGCTAGGGTTCCGGCTGAGCGAGATGGTGGTGTGTCTGATTTCGTTTTCTGTTATGGCGGCGGACAAGACGCAAGGTTGGAGTGGTGACTCCTTTGATCGCTATAGAGAATATAGGTATTGAAGTCATTATTACTATTTTTATGATTGTCCAGTTTAGGTATTGCTATTTTTATTAATTAATTTCTGAAGTTTGTTTTGTTAAATTAGATTAGGTTTATAGTTCGTTGTTAATTTCTGAAGAATGTTTGCTTGCATGATGATTGTAGAAATGTGGAAGTTAATGGCATGTGGTCATGGTAATTGATTTGTGGCAGGTATTGTTTATCTGTGAATGTTATTGGATTTGCATACTCGGCGTTGCAAGCATGTGATCTGGCATGTCAACTTGCCACTGGGAAACGCTTAATCAGTCATCACCTTCGCAACCATTTTGACTTCTTCTTGGATCAGGCATGTCCTACCACTCTGTTTCTGTTTTCAATTTTCTTCTTTTCTGTCAGAGAAGTGAGCATACCAATATTTAGGACTTATAGTCAAATTAGTACATGAGTGTTTGAATGAAAGAAGGTTATGTTGTGTTAGTATAACTAGTAATTTTGAGTTCAAGGTGGAATATACAGTGATCTAGAGTTTTAAGTTTTTGGATATACTCTTGAATTAAATACTGAGATACAAATATTTTTATCGTTAATGGAGATTCTACTGATTAAAAAAGATTCTCTCTCATATAGATTACATGTTGTGTTAAAAATTAGATTGTTTCAGTGTTCTGTTTGTTAATGTGGAGATTTTGCACTTGAGCAAGACCCAAAACCTTTTTTGTGGCTCAAAATCATAACATTTTTTTGATGAATTGATGAGTAGGTTCTGGCTTATCTTCTGATATCAGCATCATCATGTGCAGCCACACGGGTTGACGATTGGATATCAAATTGGGGGAAAGATGAGTTCACAGAACTGGCCACTGCATCAATTGGAATGTCCTTCCTAGCTTTTGTTGCCTATGCTATGAGCTCACTCATCTCTGGTTACACCCTATGCAACCGCAGCTCCATGTGAACCTCACTTCCTACTTCTCACAAGTTGTCTGTTTATAGAGTACCCCCCTGTTTCTCTTCAGCCGTGATGGAAACGATTAATAACGTGCTTGAAATCTCTGATTTGATACATGACTTATCATCACATCCAAGAACCCAAAAAACGTGGAAGCAAGAACTATTCGCATTAGTCATAACGTGGAAAACCACATTTCATGGGCTTCCAGACATGCTGTAAAGAAATTGTTGATGCCCCAAAGTTTTCACTGTACTGACGGACTTATGTATATATACAGTTTCTGTATATTTGTTCGTGCTGCAAATGGTAGGGTGGAGAAGCAGATTTTCCTTGTTTTATTTCCATTCAAATACTCCTTTTTTAAATCTCACGTTCTTCCATATAGAACATGTTGCTAGTTATGTCAACTATAGTTGATAGAGGATTGTAAATCCATAAACGAGGGGGTTTTGTGATCTAGCACTCACATAAAAAAAAAGAACGGGATTTGGGTAAATTTTTTGATAAACAAATGGTTTGAAATAGTGACAATAATATTATTCTAGTTTCCCTTGTTTTATTTTTCTGGAGATTGTTTATTTATCCTTGTGGCCATTTGCCATTATTACAAGAAGAGCATGAAACAAAAAATTAAACAAGAAAAACACTTGGATCGGGTTGAGGTTAAGGTCCCAATCGTCCTGCAACACGCCAGCACCAGATGATAATTGGTAAATAGAATTAGAAATATTAGAGTTATTTTTAATCATGATTTGAGTTATTTTTAATAATGAAATATTATGGGATTGCTTTAAAAATGAAAATTGTCACGTAAGTCTCCTAAAGTTTAGTTCATAGGTCAAATTGGTCCCCACATTAAAAGGCATGATTTAACACTAATGTAATAATGTTCACGTGGCATACTAGTATAATATAAGAAATTTATGTAACAGTACAGAAGAATCAATAGTTGCTGTAAGAACTGTTGGCTTCGGCTAATCTAACAAGTTCAAATAATTTTAGGTTTAGTTTGATTTATATTTTTAAATTAATTATAATTCTCGGTCTAATTTAATTTTATGTTAGACCAATCAATCAATTTTAATATAATTAAAAATTTAAAAAATTATTAAAAGTTTTATATTAAAATAATTAATTAAAAGATATTTAAATAAAATTAAAAATTAAAAATATAATTTTAAAATTTAAATTATATTAATAAAATTATTTTATATTTTAAATATAACAATTTAATATATAAATTATGATATAAAAATTCTATTACAAATTTTGTTTATAGATTTACTAAATACTTATTCTTAGAAAAAATAAATTTCTTATCAAATTATATATATATATATATATATATATATATATTAATAAAATAATATTATTTTTATTTTATTTAAAATATAATTATTATTTTATAAAAATAAATTAATATATATAAATTTAATATAAGTTCATATAAATGATAATCTAAATAGTAAAATAGGTTTAATTCAAGTAACAAATTTTTATATAATTTAATATATTTCTCAAACTTTTTGGTTGATATATTGAATTAAACATATTTTAATATCCTTTTAAGTATACAAGAAAATTATTATCAAAGAAAAACTTCCTCTAATTTATACTAAATAATACTATATTTAATGTTTGATTAAATAATTGAATTAGTTTATTTTGATTAAGTTTTTGTTCTAACGTCTTGAAATGACAAAAAAAAAAGAAGAAGAAGCATTTTCCATAACTACGTTTGATTAAAATAATAGTTTTAAAGCAAGTGCAGAGTTAAATGTTGTAGGGTGGAGGAAGAGTTCGCCTGATTCCAGATGCAACAAAGCTATGGTTATGGATTGGAGTCCTCTATGTCCTTTTGGGCCTTGGGATTGAACTATATTAGGAAAGTCAATTGCTTCCTGCACCCCCATAATATTCTCCCGCAACTTCATACTCCAAGTCAAATACCTAAAGTGTTTCTCCCATAATTTCGATTTTTACCCTAACTTCTTCTATTTGTCTATAAGTTCTCCACCTCCATCCCTAAGCACCTTCATCCCTTGACTTTGATTTTTTTGTGTTATTACCTTCATTCAAAACTTTTTCTAATAATTAAAGGTAAGTAATAATTAATATTATGTATGAATTACATGCTCCTGTACTCAAATTGTACAAATAGACTCCAATTACTCAATTTAGAACAATATCGCAAAAATGAGGTTTAATTTCGAAACACCCAATCGAAAATATATTTCTAAATTGACTTTTTTGGAAACGCATTATGGAACACCCATTCCAAAATATTATTATGGAGGATGGAATGTATTTCTCGAAATCAATTCCAAAAAAATAATTCGGAATGCATTTTCAAAAAATCAATTTTAAAAATATATTTCAAAACGCACTTTCTAAAATGTATTTTTAGAAAAAAAAATTTGAAAATATATTCCAAAAAGTGCTTTCTAAATGCATTTTCAGACAATAAATTTTGTAATTGTATTTTGAAAAACACTTTCTAAATCATGGTTTTCGAAAAAGATTTCTAGTTTTCTCACTCCTTACAACGTATTTTCCAAAAAAGTTTTGTTATATGAATGTACATGTAAAAAAAGTTGGAAATTCTGACCTGTTTCTTGTAATTTTTTTAAAGAATAGGAGAGGATAGAATAAAAATGTTGTAGTAGGATTTAAAAGGTAATCATTGAACAAAATAAGAATAAACACTAGTGAAAGATGAATATAAGTATAAACATAAGATGAGATTTAATTTAATCATGAGATGCAGGAAAAATTATGAGGTGTAGGAAGGAACCAGTAGGAACAGGTTGCAGCTTTCCACATCTAGAAAATAAAAAGGCTTTTAACTTCTTCCATCTTATTAATTTTTTAGAGCATCTTTAATTGGATTAACTTATCTGAATTATTTTTCAAGAATATGAAATGAGATCCCACAATATTAACTCACATTTAACAAATCTTAAACTAACTCTAAACAATTTATTATTTTACATATATTTTTATTGAGATTGTATATCATAATATTTATTAATTAAAATTTAATACGGCAGATTTAATTAATATTTTTTTTAAATTAATTAATTTAAACAATAGCATGTAATAATATTTAACTTTTAAAATAATTTAAAATAAATGTGCAATGATAAAAAATAAATGGCATTGAAAAATATAATATACTACAAATAACTAATTTTCATTATTTTATCTTTTAAATCTTTTCTAAATCAAATTTTTTGTGATGACTGTTTTTATCTTGAAGCATTATTATTCTTCCTATAGATCTAAAATTTAGATGAAACTTAATTATATAATAATAATTGATACGTCATTTTTTATAATATCATAATTAATATGATTTTGAGAATGGTATTATTCATATGAACAATTATATTTTGTAATATAATACATGCATAAACTTCATTGTAAGAGCACCCAAAATGTACCAAACCATATATAAATGTGTATTGAGATTATAAAGTACTCCAAATCACGATCAATATCCTTTATAATCGAGTAGCAGATCTTGATTAATGATTTTGGAGAGTCAAATAACATATTTATAAATAATAAATAAATATAAAAAGATAAGAGGCTAAAATTATAAATATACAAGTATGTATATTTAATAATTATTAAGTTTGGAAAGCCAAAATTATAAATATACCATGGTTTATAGTCAACTCTTGTTAAGAAAATAATTTTTTCTTTTATTCCTATGATATTAAAATGATTTTCACAAATGTGATGAATTTTGATACATATCATCCATTAAACAATATTTCATATTATATTATATTTCATTCGAAGTATATTGTACCACTAATACATAACTTGACCTAACATCATTATACGAATTAGATGTATTTAATGTAGTAATGTCATTATTTTATATGTGGTGCCAAGAAATGAATATCAAATCTACAAGTGTTGGTATCATTACTTTAGGAATGATTATTGGGTTAGTATAATCATCTCACGAAACTTGACTTTCCATGCAATTAGACAAATTTTTATTCTAGTGTGTGCAATTAATACTAACATATTGAAAAGTCATGTGTCACTCTCATTTGAAATAGCAGTTAGTGTCTTCATTATTAGGTTTCTTTGAGTAGTCATTTATAAAGATTGCATAGTTGTAAGCATTCCATTGTAGTGATTTCACCAAATTCAAATATATTCATCCACATTATTGACAGGTGAGTTATAAGTCAATGTATGGATAATACTAGTGCACTTTTGCAAAGGTGATAGGACTCTTTTTCGTGTTGCATCTAACCTCATTTTAAAGTAGTCATCATGATTGTCAATGACCTACACAATTCTCAAAAAGATGTCCTCCACATACAAAGCATTATTTAAAATTAAGTTGTGTATTCAGGATTTAAAAAAAAAAGTAATAATGAAACAATTGATGATGACCTTATTTATGATTCCGATGTACTTGCCTTTCTTTTTTTCTATCATCATCAATGTTGTCACCTTGTTGTTGGTGCTCAAGTATTAACCTCAAAACTTCTTCATATGACTTGATAAAAAATATGTCTAAATAGATGTTTTCAAATCTATTGTATGGAAATTAAAGTGTTTGAAATAAAAAACTATTATTATGAGATAAAAGAAAATGTGACAATGAAATAACATTGAATAATTATATATAGATTCATAATGATTAATTTTTATAATAGTTATTTTTCATAACAAGTACTTTTTACAACGAAACTTTTTCATAATAACTTTTTTATAATAGCTACGATATTTTTTTGTGAACTGCACTTTTTTCCTCAAACATGTTAGATGTGTCCTTAATGAATATTTTATATTCTAAATATATTTTTTGTGATTTATTTAACTCAATAAATTCATCAAGTTTGATGTTTTGTAATTGAAAGCAATGAGGGGAGATTGATGGAAATGTCCCTACATTCCCAAGAGATGATTTTGATGATGATTCAAGTCAACTACATTCAAGTAAACACCATTCAAGATAAATTAAGGACAAACTGAATTTATGACATTGGTGACAATGTGAAACATTTCCCTACATGCCAAAGATATGTTTTTGATAAAGATGATGATTCAAGCAAGCCCAAGATGATTCCTAAAGACTAGATAGAGTCTTAGAATACTGGATATAGATGTACAAGTTGATGAAGTAATATTATGCATAAGTTTCCAAAGCACAAGTGTGATAAAATTCATAACGTGATATTTTTCATTGTCATAATCAATTATGATGCGTCAAAAATGGAAAAATGTTTTTCTCTGTCATAATTGATTATATTGGTAAGATAATCAATTATGACAATTCAAATTTGAAAAATATATCTGTTTTGAAGAATAAATATTTTTGAATATATCCTGATTTTTATTCACAAAATATTAATATCTAACGCCCATTTTCTGATGCTATTTTACTATTTAATTAAGTTTTGATGAAAAATAAAAAACACACAATTACAGAATTTGAAAATACAATTTACATTCAATCAGTTTTGAGAAAAGAATTCTAAGCAATACAACAAAGATATTTTACACCTTCTAAGAAAACCCTCTTCTCTACTGCCTTCTGTGCTCTCATTGTTAATCACACTTGTTCTTGGAGATTGACATTCTATAGGCTTCTATAATTTGTTGTCTCCATTACCCAGGTGTGACTATTCTTATTTTTATTACCATCATCCTTTTTGTATTGGTAGAAAAGGAGGTGCTTTTTATCCCTAGTGTGATTTTAGGGAGGTGTTCATCCTTAGTGAGATTCTAAGGAGGTGTTTTCATCATTTGATTTGTTCAAAGGAGGTTTTCATCCCTAGTGTGATTCTAGGGAGGTGTTTATCCTTAGTGGGATTCTAAGGAGGTGTTTTTCATCCTTTGATTTGTTTAGAGGAGGTGTTCATCCCTAGTGGGATTCTAGGGAGGTGTTCATCCTCAGTGGGTTTCTAAGGAGGTGATTGTCTTTTTAATTAGTTTACTTTTTACTGGTTCTTCTGCTGAGTTGATTGTAATTTGTAAACTGAATTTGAAAGATAGTGAATTGGGAGTCACTCTTGTGTTAAGAGTTGACTGGGAACTGGATGTAGGGTTGGCTATACCCGAACCAGTATAAATCATTGTGTGCTCTTCTCTTTCCCTTATCTCTTTCTCTTTTCCGATTATATTATCGCTTCCGCTTTATTTGTGTTCAAACAAATTATTGACTCTAATAAATTTTTAATTTGACATCTATTTTAATTTGTGCATTTATTCACCCCTCTAGATGTCATTTGTCTAACAAGTGGTATCAGATCTTGGTTAGATAAGATATTTCTAAACGATCTGTCAAGATGTCTATGCAGAATCAGGTTTACGGGGAATGAGCCTCAATAAACAGACCACCATTACTTGAAGGAGAAGACTATCGGTTTTGGAAGGCAAGAATGGAAATGTTTTTACAAACATTAGATTATGGTATTTGGGATGCTGTACTCAATGATCCTTACATTCCGATGAGAACAACGGAATCTGAAGTTGTTCCAAAGACTTTTGACCAATGGACGCTGGATGAAAATAAGCGTGCCCATTATGATGTAAGAGCCCGAAATGCTATTGTTTCTGCCTTAACTCGTAATGAATTTTTCAGGGTCTCACAATGCAAGATGGCAAAAGAAATGTGGGACACTCTTGAAGTAACACATGAAGGAACAAATGAAGTAAAGCGAACACGTAAGAACACACTCATCTTGGAGTATGAATTATTTCAAATGCAACAAAATGAAAGCATCACGGATTTCCAGACACACTTCACACATATAATAAATCACTTGAAAGCATTAGAAAAAAGTTTTGACAATGAGGAGTTGAGCACAAAGATCTTAAAATCCTTAGACAGGAATTGACAACCAAAGGTCACTGCTATAACAGAATCAAAGGATCTCACAAAAATGTATATTGC